TAAAGTTTTCTTAATACCATTTACTAATAAATTTATATCAGAGCGCAATTTAAAGGCTTTGCTTAGGAATTTGATAATATTACATTGTTAAAAATTGACGTTTTAACCATGGTTATAAATTTTTGAAATTCTCAATGCAAAGTGTCTCAAACCTCCCTATATATGGGCGACTTGATACACTAAATGGGAGGCTTGATACAATAAAAAAAAATAGGAACGCAATCTTTTATTATTAAAACATGCAACATTAAAACATACAACATTAATTTCTAATCGATACATAATTCGCAAGTGAAGGTTTTTATGTTATTGTTCACGCCTGCACAGGCTGAATGGCACCATTTTAAGCATTGCTGGCAACGAATCCACTTTTCTCGAGAACGAGATGCCGAAAATAACGAATTGCAGTAGATGCAGGCGGCGTCGTCATCGTCAGCTGTATCAGAAAATGGATCTTTCTCGTTTTCACTCTCAGAATTCGAGTCAACGTACACACTTCTTTCCGTTTCTCTGTTTCTATCCAAAACTTTTCTTTTCGGGTAGGATTCACTACACTCCACATTGTGTTGTTGAAAAGTATCACTTTTTCTAGTTTCACTAGATATTTTTCGTTTCACCTGTTTTATTTTCGTTTTCATCCGTTTTTTTTCTTCCCTCGAATTAAATTCGGCTTCAATGGCCTGTTTTTCCGGAGTGTCGGTTAAGATTCTAGTCCGACCAAGCTTTCGGCCCCCTTTTTTCTTTCGAGGCAGTGCTTTGGGATATGGACGAACTTCTTCAGGACTTTTAAATGGAGCAGAGGGGGTGCTTTGGATGGTGGTGGTATTTTCCATTGTATTAAAAGTTGGCTCCAGCTGAGATGAGGATGTGCCAGGTTGAGCAATTGGATCATCTATAACCGGCTCTTCCTCAGGGTTTTGTCCTACTTCCTGATATGGTCGATTTGTAACTTCCGCTCCTGCAAAATCTAGATCTTCAAATAAATGTGGGTTGAATGGATAAATTCCAGTAGTGGAAAATCCTTTGGTTATATTTGAAGGTGAGAAAGCTCTGACATAAGCTAGTCCAACCAATGCCGGTATATTTTTTAATGAAATTGTTTGCCCTGGATGACTGACCATCCAAGCATCTGCCTGTTCATTATAGTATTTCTTAAATGGGCCAAATACCGATACGTCTAGTGGTTGTAATCGGTGGCTCGTGTGAGGTGGTAAAGTTAACAAATGTATGCCGTTTAACTTACAAGTGTTTAAAGCTTTGGGTGAAATATGGCTGTCGTGATTGTCAAGGACCAATATACATTTATTTTCTTTCGAACATTTTGCATATTTTATGAAGTGATCTAAGTATTTCACGAAATTATCAGCGGTCATCCAACCACTTTCGTGCGTTACAGCAATGGAACCTGGAGGAGCACCATGTATCATGTATTCCTGCAATCTAACACGGGGAAATATAAAAAATGGTGGCACTGAATTCCCCAATGCATTTATTGCACAACACACCGTCACCAGTGTCCCACGTTCTGCAGATATAGTTTTAGAAATTTGTTTTTGCCCTTTACGGGCAATAATCTTTTCGGGTTTGTGCGCAGTAGTGACTCCAGTTTCGTCTAAGTTGTATATGGATTCTGGGCCAAAAGGTTCTCGCTCCATTAGATTGCGCAGATTCTTGTAAAATTCTTGCACGTTATGCCGATTGAACGCAGTCGCTCTGCCTAAGCTGGTACCCTCAGGACTTCTCAGCGATAATTGGGGATGACGTGACATGAAACCTTTTAGCCAGTCGTAAGAAGCACACTCGTTTTTCCTCCAATTTTCTGGTATCTTTTTTTGGTTTTCTTGGCCAAACTGATACGCAAATTTCCTTGTTTGCTTAGGCGTAAGACCATAGTACAGGTCTGCAGAAGTGAGCAAATATTCCATTAAAAGAGATTCTTCGTGAGGCGAAAAAATTTGTGAAGTTACAAAATTTGGGGAAAAGGTGATACTTTTATCCTCTTTATATTTTGAAATATATCTTTTCAATGTCATTTTGTCAACATTGTACTTCCTGGCAGTAGTTCTAAGTGCTTTATTTTCATTCACTATTTCAAGCACTGCCCTTTTTAAATCATCTGGTGAATACTTCGTTCGACCTTTGGATTTCCATTTAAACGGCATCTATAACAATGTTATCCAATTAACCTTGTAATTGCCGTAAAGATTTCATAATTTGTTATAAATTATAAAATTAATAAATACGACAGACATATATTCAATTGTAAAATTAATAAATACAACATAGGGGAGGTTTGATACATGTATCAATCCTCCACACACAAAGTGTATCAAACCTCCTGGGACGACAAATTTATGAAATATGTGACGTAAACGTATGATGGCACTCGACTAAAATTCTATACTACTGGCCCCTATGCTCTAAATGAAATGCGCTTCAAGTAAAGTTTATTGAATTTTGTTAGATTTTGTCGTTAGATTGATGAGACCTTACGTTTATTATGTAAAAACTTACATTGAATAGGTAGAAAACACACTTTAACTTTGAAAACTTTTAAACGACAAGCGACCTTTGCGATATCGTATCACAGACTGTTTCGATGTTCACGCTTGGCACTGCACGTGGTTATCCCTTCTCTAAAGACTCGAGGTGGGAAATTTGAACGTGTATCAAGCCTCCCCACGTATCAAACCTCCCTAGTTTCCCCTA